TGTGACTCAGAGATTTGGCATGTGTGTAACAGGGTTGCAGTGTGGGAGATACAGGAGGAGGAAGAACCCTGCTCAAGAGTTGGCTGCATATGCATTTGCTCATGGGCACAGTTTTACTGATAAGATTTCCAGCAGCAGTACAGCACTGCTGGGAATGATCTGTCTGGCTTTTTACAAGCAAGTTCAAATTCCAAAGGCTCTGACCTGTGTGTGTATGTGCAGTGAGCAGGTTACAATGATTACACAGGTAATATCTGTCAGTATATCTGTACGCTGTGTATCAAGATGCAGAAGATACCTGAGATGCTGTGATGAAGCCTCTCGGGATCTGGAGCCCTCTGTAAATGGAATGAGGGATGCCCAGGAGGGCATGGAGTTTGACAATCCAGCTTTTAGTCTCATCAGCCACAGAAGCAGCAAAGGACACAACATAAACAGTTTTCTCATCACAGATTGTAACAAAATCTCTCACACCAACTCTTGCAGTGAAAAACACCCACTGAGGACTGGATAGCCAGGAACACATGTTCAGCCTGGCACAGGAGCCAGGATCTGGTGGGTGGCTTGGTATAGTGGACTTTGGGGAGCAGAGCAGAGTGAGAAAACATGCCTTGCTCCTTAACAAGCTTTCCTCTCGTTCCTCCATCTCTTTTAAACAGAAGGCAAATTTCAGGTTGTTCACAGGAAAGAGCCTAGTGCCTTGTTTCTTTGCAAAACAGCACCATTGTTTGTCATTCTTTTAGAGTCACTAAGAATCTACTGTCAGGGATTAATAGCAGCTAAGTGGCACACACAGTTGTGTTGGAGATTGTCCCCACAATGATGAGGTATGCGCATATCAGGTCAGATAGTAGCTGTTTATGCAGAGCCTTAAATTCAGTCCTTCTCGTGTGTTTGCTTTTTGATGTGTAATGGGCCACTCAGTGTTACTAGTGTTGCTTTGCCACTATGAAGACTTCCCCTTAGTGAGGGGAAATGAAGCTTGGCTAGTGACCGCATCTGGAATTTGGGGAATAAGGTAAAAGTCAGTGTTCTGGGGAATGAGGTAAAAATCAGTGTTCAAGGACATCCTTGCTGCTTATCAATATCTAAGAGGAGAGGAATTGTAGAATCATAGAATCAGATGGATTGGAAAGGACCTCTGAGATCATCAAGTCCAACCCTTGATCCACTACCACCACAGTTACTAGACTATGGCACTAAGTGGCACATCCAGTCTCTTCTTAAATACCTCCAGGGACAGAGAATCCACCACCTCCCTGGGCAGCCCATTCCAATGCCTGATTACCCTCTCTGTGAAGAATTTCTTCCTAATATAAGGAAGGGTTTGATGATCCTCCTTTTGTGAGGTTAAACATAACCTCTTCTTGTAATACATGCTTTTCATTTGCTTTGGTCATCTTAAAAGCCATTCTTCATGACAGCTTGTGATAGGTTCATTTTGAATTCTTCTGCTTTAATCGGTAGGGTGCAGTTTGTGTGACTGGCTGTATTTACACTGTTGATGTCTTTGTCTGTGCTAGCTGTACCAACTCACTGTACTATCACTTCTTGCCCTGAGCTTAACATAAACATTTAAAATAGGTAAATTAGAATGGGAGTTTAGAGCAACTAGTTCCAAGGCTGACATCTCTGCAAGCCTTATCTGGAGTTAGAAGAGAAGTATCCAGTCCTGCTTGACCAGAACTGGGTTCCAGGCAAGCTCTGTTGGTAGTGCCTTTGTGCTTTGCCGGTGGCAGTAGCGCTTACCTACTTTTGCTTTGGAAATGGTTACAGATTCCCTCCCCCCACCTTGTAGTTTCTAACAGATAGAAACTGCAGCATTTTAAGACAAATTTTGCTTTCGTGAAAGAAGTTCTCCTTTCTCCATAGCAGAAATGAGCTTTACATTTAAGCTATTCTTTTGCTGTTACATTTTTGTCAGCTTCTGTTCTTTCATCCCTCAATGGCATCAAAGCACTGTGGGTTGGCAGGCTGCAAACACAGGAATAACCACTTGGCAGTGGAGCTGTGGGAAGTGCAGGAGTCAATTCCCAGCAGGAAATAAACGGATAGTTTAAGCTACTTCAGTGGTAACTCCATAAGCCTCAGCAACACAGATCTCTTGCTGCTGTGTATCTGTAACCTTAGATGACTTTGAGGACTGAACTCTCTGAAGTCTGTGCCTCAGCTCATCTACACGAAGTTGCAGTCTTCTTTATTGATGGTATTTCCTACTTCTGTCATCACCATATTCCAGTGCATCTCCTTAATTTTGTGCTTCACAAAGATATTACTGTGTGATGCAACAATACAACTAATATTGTTCCTGCTCCTTGCCTGCTTCATCATCTTAAAATTCATTAACCACCTTCACATCCCTCAGCTCTGTGCTTTGCTGCAATGCCTACAAAAAATCTGGAAACAGTCTGACTGTGAGTGAGCTGAGAACATTGCCTCACCAAGTGATATGTTCTCTGTTTCCCTGGGCTCCTTCAACTGATGGCAACAATCTGCCTACCCAAAGACTGTAGGTTCTTTGGGGTAGGACCATCTCTTCCTTCTGTGACCTGACAGTGCCCAGTCCTGTCAGCTCCAGTCTGACAGTTCATTTGGTTTAGGCAAAATTCCTTTTAGCTTAGCTCTAATTTTTAAGTAAAGTAATGCACAGAATGATTTGCAAGGACATACTCTCAGATCTGATAACTATTGAAGTCAAAAGGCCCAGGATTAGTCATACAGTTGTGCGTAGAGGAAGATTTGCTGGATTGTTTTCTTTATATGGTTTATTTTATTGATTTGCCTGCAAAGACAAACCTCTGTGTTTACTCCTATCCTGCACAGAAGGGTGCAGTGAAAGGCATAGGTAAGTTCAGAATCCTGCCCTGTATTCCTCTGCCCCAGCCTCTTTAAGGATGATGAATTTTAGAAAGTACTTATTTAGTTAAATAAGTTGGTTGTTTTCAAAATTATGACTTCCAAATATCATGTTGTCATCAAAGTATAGAATGAAAATTGTGAATGTGTTATGGAAAATCCTCTTGTAAAATTTTGCCCTAGTATCAGTGTGGAGGGCCTACAGTAAATCAGGCTTTATGACCCTCCAGGCTAGCAGGGAGTCTTGCTTTAAACTATTTATTGATCAGCACATAGGCAGTGCCCTGCAGTGTTCTGCCTGCAGTCTGTTCCCGTCAGGTAGGAACAACCACTGTGGGAGACATCAGCCCCAAGCCCTTGAGCATATGATGGGTCACAAGAAACTCTTGTCCATCAGCATGCACACATGTCACCTGCCTGAGGTGCCTTGGTGCTGCCAAGAGCCTGTCTGCAGGTGTGCATGAGGGGCAGAGAGGGGTGCACCCAGGAGGAACACGTTCATCTCTGTGTCCTGGCAGTCAGGACTCAATTCTCAGAGGCTTGAACTTCAAAAGGAACAGAGGCAGCCCCTTGTTTGTTCAAAGTTCACCTGAAACAGCCTATGAAGGTTATTCTTTCAGAGCCCTTGGGCAACTAGTACAGATTTTGGTAACACTTGCAACTACAGAAAATGTTCTACAATTCAGCTGTGTTGAGCATGGCCAAGAAATCCTTTTTAAAGAGAGATGTGGTAGTCAAATCATATTCTTTCCTTTCCCTTTTATTTTCTGCACAAAGAAACTTGTTTGGAAAGCTCTCCCATTCTGAATACCATACTACAGGAATCTCACTGCCATTCTCCAAATCGAAAGAGTTACACACAAAATGGCAGAAATATGTAGTAATGCATTTTTTTGCAGCTCCTGGAACTCTGATACTGCAGTAAGGAGGTTTTTCTTTGAATGTAGACAAGGCTAGAAATTTAAAGGAAAAACTCAGGAAAAACTCAGCATTTCTATGTATTTCCAGAAAAAAGGAGGACTCTGCAACATTAGCCTTGTCCTGCTCTGGGCAGCAAGCACAGACACTCTCCTGCTTTTTCAGGAAAGCTGGCATGGGGCATACAGTAAGAAAAACTTTTCATAGTACTGGTTTTCATCTCAAATGCATTTTGGCAGGTACTAATATGCTTCCTATTAACTTCAGTAGGCTCCCAATTTTATGTTGATTGCTTCCTGTTCATACAGTATTTCTGATAACTAAGGAACACAGCACTTAAGGTTTAGCATGGGAACACCATGCAAGTTGCATGTTATGAATCAAAGGAACCAACAGATTGGCAGGTTCCCAGACTCTTGTTTTTAGAGCCCAGAGAAGCTGTGGTACTATTCAAAGCCCAGTTAAATGGGGTTGGAGCAACCTGGTCTAATGGAAATTGTCCCTGCCCATAGCAGGGGAGTTGGATCTAGATGACCTTCAAAGCTCCTTGCCAATCCAAACCATTCCATGATGATTCACTGATGATGATTTAAACTTACACTATAGGATGAGTTCCACTCCAGTTATCTTTTTTTTTGAATGAGACATAACTCTGCTGGTGCCAACAGGGTTTGTGTGGTACAAAGATGGTGCAGCAAAAGGAAAATGAGATCTGCCCACTGTGTGCTATGTAAGCCAGAACCTCAGAATCAAACAGAAATGTTCCTTTATATAACATTAATTAGGCATCTGCTGAAAAGAAGATGAGTTATGAGAATTCTTGAAAAGTGGTATTGTTGTGGAATACCTAATATAGAGTATTTCTCCAAGTAGAAACTCTTTTACAGCAGAAATATTTCTCAGAGAGTTTTAGGCTACCATAGCAGAGATTGTAGGGGTGCAAATCAGAACTGATCTCTGGAACACTTGTGATGAAAACTGATGTGGGTTCAATGTGCTCACTGATACATCTGAAGATTTTTACCCTGCAAGTGGGACTGTATCTGGAGCCAAAATCTGCCGTGCTATCCATATTCAAGGGTGCATGTATTGATAATGAAAAAAAAAGTATCTTTCTCAGCATGGTCTATCTATGGACACTACTAAAAGATGGAGAAATTATTTTGTCACCATTTCTCACAGGGTGTACTATATGACTCCAGGAACAGAACTGAATCCAGTGACAAGAGATTAGTGTTAACAGAAAGTAGTAATAACAGTAACAGTAAGTATTGGATTAGGTATTTTTAGTGGTAAAGATTAAGCAGTAGAAAAGCAAGCAAGAACATGCATAATGCTGAGTAAAAGAGAACACTATCAGGAAAAAATAATTTATTTTTAAATATGCCTCCAAATAGCCATGTAATATTAGCACATCCTTTCCACTCAGGTCATGGCTGCATTAAGGTTCCTGTGGGCCCTCCAGTGGGTTTAAATATATGCTTTAAGTTATGTAAACACCATCCAATCCTATTTGCATCGTCACTCTATGACATGAAATGCTATAATGACCTCCTTTTAGTTTGTCCAGTGCTATGTATAAAGCAGGCTTAGGTGCTTTTATTGTTAAGGAGGTCAACTCTCTTAATGAGCTTTAGGCATTCCCAGAGAGTCTTTCAATATTGCAAGACATACCTGGCCCCAGGCAGGACAGTTATGGCTCTGCCAACACCTAAGTGGTGCAGACAGATCCCATGTGACAGGTTATGTAACTGAGCTGGGCTTTATATGCCCTGGGACCTAAAGCGTGTAAAGGGCTCGAGGGAGAAGAGCATCAGGTGAGGAAAAGGTGTTTGCATACTGTGCTTCTTGGGGTGCTTTTGGCATTGTAGCAAACAATATTAGGCTTAATGTTATGCTTCATTAAGAGGTCAACTTGTAAGAAATCCATGGGATTTAGTAATGATTTGTGTGTTCTAGAATTGCAGGGGCTGAAATTCTACAAAGACTCAGAAATCATGATGATTCCTCTCCGGAGAATGACACCTGGGTATATAAGGTTGTTGCAGGTATGAAATTATGTGGGTTTGGTTTTCTTCTTGCTTTTAATTGATCTTCGAAGTACCTGTGTTTCTCTTGATCAGGCTGATTTTATTTCAAATTACTGCATGGCCAACCCAAGGGAACATTTGTTTCTTGTGGGTTAACTTGCATAACAACACAAAGAAGGCTTAATTAAGCCTCTGCTGAAAAGCAATTGAATTATAATATATCTTGATAATTGGTATCATGGTGGAACGAACACCAAATGCAGAATACTTGGAAGGAGTTTGTGCTTCTGTGGTGCTAAAACAGAAACTGCTTCTCCATAATTTTCTCTTTTAATGGCTTTGTGTGTTTGGGGCAGTAGGAAAATGTTAACGGGAAGAAGGGTGATGGCTTCCTGAGCAACTCAGATGAGCTGTCAGTGAAACACCTCAGCCAGCTTCCATGGCTGTGAAACCTCAATCAGTGATGCTCTCTGGAACATGGGGGGACATTCAATCATTATATGAAGAAAAAAAAAAAAAGCAAGCATAGAAAATATGTTAAAGTAGCTGAATAATTGAGACTAAAGCAGCCAAGTATATATATACACACGCATATATTTATATATATATACATATATATACCAAAGTAGAACATCTACCTTATTGTACTACATATTTTGATATTTACAGTGCATCTATCCTTTCTCTGGAAAATGTCACAGCTCTTAACAATGTGATCTGCATCCAGAATCATAGGCTATAGTAACTGAGAGATGATGATTGAGTGGTTGAGAAGCTGAGCTAAAGATACTGTGTTTCAGACCTAGAAGTGAATTTCTTTCATGATTCCCTGTATATCTTTTGGTATCACCTTACATAGTAGTTCTGTTTGGGATTTTCATTGTCTTTATTTATTCTACTGCTGAAAATGCCCCAGTCAGATGATACATTTATCAAGGTCAGAGCACTCAGCTATGAGTCTTTAAGCTCTATTAAAAAACCTAGAAGATGGAAGTGAAAACCAGGCTCCTTGGAATCTGTTGCTCCTCTCAGTGGTGCCATCTATGCTTTCTGTTCATGGATTGCAAGGGAAAGGATTAAAAACATTATTTTAGGCCTAGTCCTCTTTTCATGTAAAAAAAAAAACAAACCAACCAACAATTAGAAAGACACATGATGTGTCTTAACTCAAAGAACCAGTGTGTATTGGAATTTGTATTTTGCTCTCTAGAGAGTCCATGCAACTGTGTTTCTGCTTCTTGGTTAGTGTATCATATGTACTAAGCAAGCAACAGTACCCTAATTTCTATTCTAATTGTTTTTCAGATAATAGGTAATTCACTATTTTTTTTATGTTTACTTTGGCATTTTGTGTTTCTGTGTTGTACTTGACGAAGTAACTGTGTTAAAACTTGTCTGCTTGGTCTAGTCTTACTTCTGGAGCTCATGAGCAGCGCTCGTGATTCCTTTTAGCCTTGCTTTCCTGAATTAATATCTGACATTTAAGGGAGCATCTCTGTGTTAGCAGCTACTCTGTGGGAAGGAAGAGATCTTTGTACTTCACTGAACAAGAAGGTCCCTTCTCCTTTATGCCTAAGCCTCCACACTTAATTCATCTCTCTCTCTCAGCACAGTAACCACGTGGAACCCTGTTAAAGTCACCAAAATCAATAGTTGCAATTGAAAGAAAAATTGTATCAGAAATGTGTCCTTTCTTTTACAAACTGATAAAAAGGGGGGCCTTCCAAAACATGCAATAGTTTGTGCCAAATACTCTTTCGCAGAAAGCAGAGTCATACTATTTTAAATGGCACAGGGAAGAAAGAAGTGCTTTGTAGGTTGCAAAGACCTTCTTTTGTTGTGCACTCAGCTGAATCAGCATGTAATTTGCCCTGTTTCTCCCACAGACTCAAGCTGCAGCAAAAATTGTTATCAACCCATCAGACACAGCGCTGCAACGGGCGGCATTCCTCCTGGGAGTGTTTGGGATCAGTATATCCAGCTACAGCACACACCAGCTAACTCAAACAAAGAGATTTCCCTTGACCCCTTGAGCTGTGTTGGGATGTGATCCAGGAAGTCCAGGATTATGTCAGTACTGCTGATGAGTGGCTTTTCTGCCTCAGTTACCAGTGTGGAGGTAACGAGACACTTTGCATTCGTGACTTCTACATGCAAAGTTAAAAAGATGGAAGAATGACAGACATCTTTAAGAAAGAAAAAAAAAATAACTGCTATCAGAATCATCAGATTTCCAAATAACAAAAACTGTCTGTAAATACAATGGACTTCTTTTGTTATCCAGTGTATACATAGAGATCTAAAGGTATAAAAATGCAGTTACATTCGGAGTAGGTGTAAACAGATTGATGGGGATGCTGTGCTTTGGGAGAGTTGCACTGCATTGCAGCTTTTGCAAATTGACTCTGATGCAAAGACTGGTTTGGAAAAGAAGTTAAAGGCAACATATTCCTCAAGACAAGAGTTAGAACAAATTAATCTCCCATTGACTCTTTTCACTATTCTATCTAACTAGATAGGTACATTTGTGTGTATTACAGAATTTGTGCGCTCTAGCCTTTTTTATTGAATCTTAAACATTTCTGGATGCCTTTTGAGTAGCAATGTCTGTGTATTGTAACACAAGCTGCTAGCCTTCTGCCACAGCAGAAATGGCCACAGGCTACACCAACCATATGGTGCTGGGAAACGCCCATGGCTCCAGACCAGATAACTTCCTAACTCTGTACGGTAACTCTCTGTTCTAGAAAGTATCAGTAAAAATACTGTGTTGGGTTTTACTGTGAAGTTCAATATCTGACCAAATTCCTCTGCAAAGCCAACTCATCTCATAATATACGTTCTGATTAAAATAAAAATAGAGACTGACCTTTTTTCCCTCCTTCTCCCTGTTTTTTTTTTTTTTTCACTTAGTGCAATAGCTTATTCAGGAATGTTCTCTTACTATTGCTTTCCATTTTTCCAACTGTTTCTGATGTTTTATGTAAACATAGTTTTGTGGGCTCTTCTGTACATATGTTAGCATTTAAAACCCTTTGTTCTCATTTACTAAATACAAACATTATTTTGGGGGTTTTCAGCGTTTAAAGTTATTTCATCTGTCAACAATATTTATATTCAACCACTAAGGGGCATCCTACACAGCTGAATATCTTGAACTCTTCAGATTGCTCATTCCAACATTACAAAACACAAATTGAATCAGGCTGAAATCTTTGGGGGTTTTGTTTGTTTGTTTGTTTGTTTGTTTTAAACTGTTGTTTCCCCTGTTTCCCTTTTTCTCATCCCCTCCAAGAAATATCTCTCCTCTCTCACAACTCTTGTTAAACTGAAGATGATGAGAAAATCAACCTTTACAAGGTCATTTTTTCCAATGTGCCAGGTCACAAGTTACCTGCATCTTGTATAGACTTCTGTTTATATTTAAAAATAATTATAAAAAATCATATAATGGAATATTCCATCTTCTGCCTTCACCTACAAGAAATGAAACAAAATACTTGAATCCCTTGACAAAAGTAAGAAGGATACCTCTGAAAAGCATGCAATCACACAGAATGACATTACACAGTGTGACCACCACCACCCTCAGTATGCCACAGTTATGGCTTTTTAATCTATTCATATGATTTTGGGCAGCTGCAGTTCTTTTAACTGATTTCCTGCTCCCATTGAACACAAATGTAAGCTGTTTTCAGGGCCATTACTACGCTAATGCAAACTTTTCTGTTAGAAGAAGGCCAAGCCAATAATACCACCATTTTAAGAAGATACACTAGAACAAAATAGATGATAACTTGGCCGCTGAAATGTTCTAATTGGAAAGGATGCTCATAAGGAATGTGCACTTTTTTCGTGAGAATTGTTTTGAATAGTTTTGAAAGCTTTATTTAGTACCAGTGAAAATGATGGGAGGACAACACAGGCAATAGGTACATTGAATGTGGAGAGATCCAGAGGTAAGGGCCATAGGAGCCTCAGGAACACACAGTGAAGCACCAGGGAGATGTAACTGAAATTATTTACAAAACAGATACATTTAAACTTGCTAATGGGTAATTTGGCCTTGGCTGAAAATTACCTACAGGTGAAAAGTTGGCTTTGCATCCAGCAGAAGATGCAGGTGCTGGGATCTAACCTGTCTGTTCCTGCAGGAGTCTACACCCAAAATGTCAGTTTTCTGAAGTGCAGCTGTCAACTAATGCCAGGCACAACAGATGTGCATGTGCCCTTCCCTTTCACTGCTGTGGCTCCCTGGAAGATCTGCTTTCAGGTTTCCCCTCAGCCAGGTGAGGCTGGGGTGTGTTGAGCACCCAGACATCAAAGCCTTGTGGGAGTGGCAACAACATACCCATCTTCTCATCCCTCCTCTGGCTGGAAGCACAGTGATGGACTGGAGGCTGCCCAGAATGTGACTGCAAGGTAACATCCTCTGTCTCGTTTTGTCCTGCTGCTGGTTAGAGCAAATACTCTTTGGCAGAGGAAGGAAAGGCACCTGCACAGGTCTCCCACAGAGGAGCCTGTGACACTCTACCTCCCCTCCACATGTTCTTCTGGAGCACCAGGATGGTCCCCTGGGGCCCCAGCTCCTAAAGCAGGCTGGCTCTATGAGCCTGTCCCTGCTCTGCATCCGCTACAGCAGGGGGCCCAAACAGGCAATTAGGATAAGCTAAAATTTTATCCTCCTAATTGCCTCTTAGCTGTTTACCCCCTCCCTGCGCTCGCTGTGCCATGAGTTTGGACTCTACCTATGCTGGCCATGTTTAGAGACATCTAACTCAAGCCTGCAGGCTCAGAATGTGGCTGATCTCCCAAAATCTGAGTAGGATACCACTCTGTGTTGCAATTCCCAGATGTGCTTGTGAATGTTCTCTTCAAAGCTCTGAGCATGCCAAACTTCAAGCATATGTTTATGTCATATTGAAGTCCAAGAGGGTTTAAGGAACATCCTCACATCCTTTGCCAGACTGAGGTATTTAATCTCTTCCTTGATCTCCCCCCAAAAAGCCTTTACATTTTAAATATATTTGTACTTTTGTTTATATGGCTTTTACATAAAAATGTTGGCAATTCATCAACAACTGAATGCTGATGAGAGTCAGGAGCCTGGTGAGCTTGGAGAGGTTAATGCTGCATTACTTAGTTTTAAGAAACACCAACAATGGATTTCATTTGGCATATAAATTGTTATGTTTGAGGACTTAGGCTCCAGGAATTACTTTTTACCTTCCCTAGCTTGTAAAAATGTTTAAGTAGAAGCACTATTTAAGCTAGTAAATATTAGACTTTCATTACAAATACACTTTAAAAACCATTTAATAAAAATTATTAGATTGGTTTTACCTCTAATATAGGTTAATATCTCCTGATGCTGAACAATGGTAACTCAACTAATCCTCTTCTAACAGCAGTAACTTCTTTAGTCTGAATTATGTCTTGATATATCAAGTTAATTATTTTACTCTTTGAGAAGGAATCACAAGAGATTTTGTAGTTGTTTGATTTGTATGCCTGAGTCCACCTCCTAAAGGCAAGTGAAATGAAAGTATTAAATAATCAGAAACTCAAACATGGTTTGTATTCTCTTCAAATAGATGTAGCACAGACTGGAGACTAGTTTGTGATAAACGGCATTGCTAGTGAATATCACAGAGCATTCCAGCTCCCTTTCACATATATACTCAGTTATCTAAAGCAGGATTTCTGTCTTCTTCCATCAGGACAGGCAACCAAGGACAGTCACTCAAGGTAGCACTTACCCTCTCATCGGGGAAGTATAAAATATAGGCAATGTCTGACATATTTTCATGCATCTTCTGGAAATTATACTTCTGCATGAAAATCACTGCTCTAGAGCATTACTTGTCTCTAAAGTTTGAGCTGCAGATTGTGCATCTCCTCGTATATCACAGACCAAGAAGACAAACTTAAGTTTGCCTTACCAATGAGTGAAAGCTCCGTCACTTACTTGGCAGTGGTGATGTCACCATGGTGCTGAACCCCTAATTTGTATATCAAACTAAGAGCAGAACACAAACAAGCTGAGAAACCCTTCATTTTAGACCGTGCATTTTTGCTAGTGCTAGACTCATAGAAGTCTGGCCTCATCTGAGGTTTCAGGTGCTGCCATAATGGTAATTAGCAAAATAATAAATTAATAAATAAAACTAGGGCACTGGCACTGCATGGGAGCTTCCTTCTTGAGATGTTCTGTGTCTGAAAATCACCTTTTCAACTGCAAGTTGGGCTGTGGGTTTATCAGTGGCAAAGCTGTGTGCCAGTGTTAATTCACTTCCCTGGCCTCAGTTGAACATGGCCACAGAGACTTGACTGAGAAATGGCTTTACCTGTGCAGCGCAATGGTGCTTCCCTATGGATATGTTGGTAATAAAACAAACAGAAGAAGATATTAATACCTGTCACACTTTTTCCCATCTTGGATAAAAGGCTTTTTCCCCTCTTAGTTATGAGTAGTCAATGATAACACGAAATAGCACCCTAAAGAAGTCTTGTCTTTCATATGACTTTCTTGTTATCCTTCTAAAACTATCACAATTTAATAAGGTAGCTGAAAGGTAGTTTAATCAAACAGTAGATTAATAAGGTTCCTGGGGCTACGTTCACTTCAGCTTTTAACTAAGTGTATAATCATGAGCTATGGAGTGTCACTGACTTTTAATCAGAGTGCCCCTGTCTCTGCAGTGGGTGTGTTTGTAAGAATAAAAACAGCCCCAAACAGCCCAGAAAGAGATGTTTCTCCCCCTCCTTAGCAGCATTCTTGCAAGTGGCCTTTTTAAGAACACAGAGTGATTAAAACAATAATCCATACCTTTTTGAAAGATTTTAGGAACTTCGTGTAATCCACAGCACCCCACTGGTGAGGTCCGTCCTACAAGGGAGACACTGGAGTCAGAGTAATCAAAGGAGGTGTCTGATGCCAAGCAGGGTGAGGGCTTGAATTAGCTCCCAGTGGGTGCTTCCATGTGTTTCCCTAGGAAAGGGCAGGTGAGATCCAGCTCAGCTGACATGAGCAATGGAAAGTTTGGGAAAGCCTGAGAGTGCTCTTATCTCCCACTGCACACAGCAGAGAAGGGTCCTGGTGAGCCCACCGCCACCCTGGCACCTGGCAGCAGCCTGAAGGTGCTTCACAATGAGCTGAAGGAGTGTGGATGGTTTCCTTACATGTCAAAGTACTTACTTTTTGGGGGTTCTATAATTTTTCTGTAATTTTTTCTGACTGGGGGGAAAGGGCTGTAGCTCTTTGTTATTTAAACCAGAGTAAGGAATAAACACCAGGGTGACCCTGCTGCTGAGAAAGATTTTTAATCTTTTTAAGAAAAGCAAATGACAAATTAGTTTGTCCTTCACTCTCTGTTCTTCAGTAATGGATTACAGGAACTTGGAACTTTTGGCTCAAGAGGGATGGTGGCATGTAAAGCCAAAATTGCTGAAAGCTTGGACAGAACCGTCACTGGCCAGGAATAGCTCAAACACCATGTGCCTTCCCTGTCATAGCTGAGCCATAGCTCCTTTTAAAATGCAAGCTTTGCCTTAAGGGAAAAGACAGCACATCAGGCTGTGCTCTGCTCCCCTAGGAGTCTTCAGCTGCACTGTGATAGATCCCTGAGGAGAGGAAGGGCAGAGGAATGGAACCAAAATCTTTGCTCCACCATGACCCTCCAATGGCAGAAGAGCCTCTCGGCTGCTGCTTTGGGTCAACATAGCCAGAGAACGGCTGAGCTTTTGGTGAGGGTCCCCATCCCCTGTCCCTGCTGTCTCCTGTTCCTAGAGCTGCTTTCAGGACCCTCTGAAGCTTATGGAGCTGTGACTGACCCTCTGTGCCTGTCTGTCTGTCTGTCTGTCTGTGCAAATA